TGCACTTGTCTTTGATCTCCTGATTTATATTGATAACTGAGTTATGGTTTCTCTATATTTAACTGTTGGTTTTCTGTTGATCCTAGTTGTTCCCCGCAGCATGATATCCCCTTCCTATCTTTAATTGTGAAGTTCTGCCTTTATTTTTCGTTGTATATGATTTAACTGCACAGTTTTATTTGGTAGTCCGGTCCTAGCCTCGTTACTACTTCCCCGAGGTTAGGCTAGGCACTTACCAGCACATGGGGTCGGTTGTGCTGATACTACACTCTGCACTCTTTTGTGCAGATCCTGGTACTGGAGCATACAGACGTTAGCTTTTGGTCGCTGCCTTCAGTCTATTTGCAGACCCGAGGTAGTCCTGCAGGCGTCCACAGGCCTTGGCGTCTCCTTCTATCCTTTCATTCTGTTTTTTTATGTATTTCAGATACAACGTTGTATTTATCTTTCGGACCCTTATTTGTAGTATTCCTAGACAGTCTGTGACATTGTGGCGCCAAATTCTGGGTAGAGTTGTACTTAGACTTCTGCAGTTTGTATTAATCTAAATTATCAAATTTCGTCTTCCGCACTCTTTTTGTTATTAATATTTCTGTTGCTTTTATTATGATGATTTGGAATTGTTAAGGGATTTAAAATGAAAATGGTTAAATAACTGGAATAACTGGCTTGCCTAGCTTTCACTAGTAGGCGTCATCACGACTCCCGAGGGTGGGAAATCCGGGTCGTGACACATCCGATTGGGGCCCCCGGAGTCCCGCCCGAACATACCGACAAGTTTGAAATCATAAAACGGACTCGCTCGAACTCTCGGAATGCCCGAAATGACATTAAAACTAAGAATCACACCCTAAAACCAATTGAATGAAACTTAGGAACTTCAAGTTCTTCAATTTACTTCCAATGTGCCGAAACGTACTTATACTACTCGGAATGACACCAAACTTTGCGTGCAAGTCTTAAATGAAATTATGGAACTGTTTCTGGTCTCGAAATTCCATTTGGACCTCGATATCACCAAAACCCTTTCCAAACCAAATTTAAAGAACTTCTTAAAATCTTCAAGAACCAACTTTCACTATTAGGCGCCAAAACGCTCCCCCGTCACCCAAAATCTGATCCGAACATACGCCCAAGTCCGAAATCATCATACAAATCTGTTGTAACCTTCCCGATTCTGAGGTTGTTTACTAAAAATGTTGGCCGAAGTCAAACTTGGCCTTTTAAGCCAACCTTAAGGAACCAAGTGTTCGGATTTCAATCCAAACTCTTCTAAATCCCGGACCAACCATCCCCGCAAGACATAAATCAGTAAAGCAAATACGAGAAGTCTTATTTAAAGGAACGAGGTTCTAGAAATCAAAACGACCAGTCGGATCGTTATACTAATATTTCAGAATTTAATCTTTTTCTTTATAAATTTTACTTATACAAGTCCTTCCTTATTTTAACTAGGTAGGAAATATTAAACTTACTATAACTTTAAATCAATTAAACTAGGCTCTTTCAACTAGGGCTGTGCAGGGTTGTGATTGGATCGGATTTAGTATATTTCGGATTCGGATTTCGGATTCTGAAAAGGGCAATCCGAATCCGATCCGAATTAACATTGGATCGGATCGGATTTTAAACTTTGGATCGGATAATTTTTTGGATTGTCGGATCGGATTGTCACAAAATTGCTGGTTAGGACTTAGGACCATTCATCTCCTAAAACACCATTCAATCAGAAAAAACCATTCATCTCCTAAAGCACCATTCAATCAGAATCAAAAAAATTGTGTGAATAAACACCATTCATCTCCTAAAACACCATTCAATCATATTGAGATTCACTGTTGTTGGTTGTGGAATCAGTTGAAGCGTCTCTTTTACCAAAATTTTCAACAATTTGAAGTTTATTCGGTGTCTCTGTCTCATCTTCCATCTACCAAACAAAAAAAAAAATCAAAGTAAAATCAAAAGTTGAAAAATAGAACATGAAAGAGACATAAAAGACATAAGAGAAGGGAAGAGAGGCGGAAGAAAGAGACATAAAAATCAAAGTAAAATCAGAAGTTTGAGACTTTGAGTCTTTGAGACTCTTCAGTCTTCACTGAAGAGAAGAGAGGCGGAAAAATCTAAGTGAGTGAGGGGGTGTGTAAAAAATGAATAAGCCTAACCCTAAAATTTTAGTATAGTATTTATATAGGTACATATAGTTTCGGATTTCGGATCGGATCGGATTTAGATCATACCAATCCGAATCCAATCCGAAAATCCGAAATTTTATAAAACACAATCCGTATCTAATCCGAAAATTCGAAATCCAAAAATCCGAAATAGAGTGGATCGGATCGGATTTCGGATATCCGATCCAAATGTACAGCCCTACTTTCAACAAAAGCATTTACTTTTTGAAAGCTTCGGTTCTTTTTTTTTTTCCCGAGAAAAACTTTGTTTCTCATTTAGAGACATAATTTGCTTTCTTCTGGAGGAATAAATAAACTATGCCTCTCAAAGGTTAGCTAATGGAGTGATTATATTGATTAGTTTGTTTTGATTGAAATAATCAGGTATCATGCGAAAGCTAATAAATCAAACGTTGAACAGCGATAAATCAAATAATAGAAAGGAAATATATTAAAAGAAACACAAACAATTAACGTGGTTCGGTCAATTCACTTACATTCACAGGCGGAGATGAGCAATCCACTATACAAATGAGAGTACAACATATCGAGAGAACGTTCTCACGAAAAGGCAAACACAAGTGGCACGTTAAAACTTGTCTCGAAATTCTCCCCCTAAACAAGACTCTCAAACCTAATATGACTACATTGTGAATGCTACTGACTTAAAGGAAGGATCCTCAAATTTATAGAAGTCTAAAACCTTTTCCTCCAAGAAAAAGGACTAGCCAAACATGAGAGAATTATATTTTTTTTTTTTATAAAACAAAAAAATAATTATGATAAATATGTTGTCCTTCCTTCAAGAAAAAAGAGAACCACATATGATAAAAAAAAATCACGACAACGCCTAATAGAGTTGATATAGCTAACTTCTCATATTCAAAGTTAGAACTTAGAATCTTATATTTCTTTCAACTCGTCGTTTTTCAAAAGAAGGGCTACCCATCAAGAAGATAAATAATAAAATCCTATTAACTAGGCGTTTGGATATGAATTCCAATTTCTTTTTTTTTTTCAAATTTAAAATTTCACTAAAATTTGAATTGAAGATGAAGTTGTGTTTGGTTATAGTTTTTGCAATATATTTATCTTTTTTTTCAAAATCATGAAACATGATTTATATCCCCACAACTTGTAAAAAATTATCAAAACTACCCCAATCTTTTAAACAAAAAGCATAACTAAAAAGAATAAACTGTCATGTTTCTATACTACAAAAAAACATAACTAAAATAAATAGATGGATCAGCATAAAAAGTGTCATGTTTCATGCCCATGGAAAATAAGTGATAAAGATTCTATCAGCAAACAAAGAGTACCAGAATTGATAAAAAATTTAGATCATTGCGCTAAAGAGAGAATGCTATAGACATCAAATTTTAATGGATCAAGCTAAATCCTAAATTCAAGATACTACAAGACCTCTTGAAACTCTAGGAGTCTGTCAGTGTTGCTTGGAGGCTACTCTACCAAAACTCTTGGTCACTCTTATAAAAAGGGTTATATAATCCTTTAAAAAATATCTCAAAAATGGAGATCATCTCAAATATCCCATAAACTCATGGGATATTCACGAAGAGATCAAGACGCGGCCGGATAGACATAGTTTCATGGAGATCAAATACATCCCATGAAGGTTTGCATCATCCTACATTCGAGAAACACGCTATTCTAGCCCTCGAATAACGGAGATAATCAGGAGAGAAGAATCAAGGGAGAAACAGAATTGTACCCACAATTATTTATCAATAAAATTATGTTTCTTCATATTGTATTGTGATTGCATTTAATTTTCTACTCTAAGAAAATTTATTGCAAACAAATTAGCACGCCCAGTGGGACCAGTTCTGCCCTTCATCTCTTCCTCCTGCAAATCGAAGCTACTTCAAAAATTTCCGTTGTGATCGGGTACTTCAAGTCTAGTCTTCAAGTTTCGCCAAGCCTACACCTCGACAAACCTTGAAGTAGGGGGTATTTGTAGACATCAAATTTTAATGGATCAAGCTAAATCCTAAATTCAAGATACTAAAAGACCTATTGAAACTCTAGGAGTCTGTCAGTATTGTTTGGAGGCTACTCCACCAAAACCCTTGGTCACTCTTATAAAAAGGGTTATATAATCTTTTAAAAAATATCTCCAAAATGGAGATCATCTCAAATATTCCATAAACTCATGAGATATTCACAAAGAGATCAAGATGCGGCCGGATAGACATAATTTCATGGAGATCAAATACATCGCATAAAGGTTTGCATCATCCTACATTCGAGAAACACGCTATTCTAGCCCTCGAATAACGAAGATAATCAGGAGAGAAGAATCAACGGAGAAACAGAATTGTACCCACAATTACTTATCAATAAAATTATATTTTTTCATATTTGTATTGTGATTGCATTTAATTTTCTACTCTAAGAAAATTTATTGCAAACAAACGCCATGTTGGAATATCACACTCTGCAATAAGACATGCACATTTTATGTTTCTGTGGTCATTTTATAAATTTTAAAAATATAGAGTAAAATTTGTAAAACTAAAAACTAGCAAATTTCCATTTTCAATTGAAATTAGAAAAATGGGTAATATTTTGATAACCAAACAGTGATTTTAAAAAAAAAAAATTGAAAAAAAGGAAAAATTTTGTATGTCCAAACGGACTCTAAACTTATTGCCATTTTATCTGAAAGAAAATTTCTAAATTCACATATTTGGAAATGAAAAGTCACTTCACTTTGTTTGGAGTTTCTTGAAGAGTTCAACATCCACTTTCTTCTTTTCATTTAAATCCCAAAAATCATTTATCACAAATTTACAAAAACAAGGAAAAGGACTAACTAGCAAAGAGACCACAATTACAAAAAGTCACATGGTGGGGAGCTCAAACCAAAAGGGACTTTTGAGTAGAAATCACCAAAAACCAAACCAGAAAAGGTGAACCCAAAAAGCAACCTCAAAAACTCCCCCACTCACTGAACACAACTTTCTCGGCAGCAATGGCGGCACATGAACAAGAACAAGAAAAACCCATTTGCCCTTTCGCCTTAGACCCCAACAATAAACACTTGGAGAAGTTGTTGTCCTCATACTTGGGTCTCAGTTTCACAATCTTTCTTGGTTTTTTACCCAAGAATGCAATTTCTTTGATTCCAAGACTTCAGAACCGCAGCAAGGAGCTAACTTTTCAGCTCATTGAGACAGAAGAGCAGCTAAAGCAGTTGCTTTCTCGTAGAAAAGAGGATTCGAAGGCAAATGCAAGAGTTGTGGAGATCTTTGCAAGTCATAGACATGCGTGGCAGCAAGAAGAGAAGAGGCTTTTGCAGCAGATTGATGAGTGTGCTGATGAGATTGAAAAGTTAAGAGGGAGAGTTGAGGAGTTTGAGAAAGTGGAAGGTGAGTTAAGGGCTAATATTGAGGAGCTGAAAAGGGAGATCAGTGAAAGAGATGAAACGTTGAACTTTATGAGTAGAAGGGGTTGTTGTGAGATGGAAAATAGTACGAGTGGAGATGTTGGTGAGGGTGTTGGGGATTGCTATGCTGAAATGGGTTTGAGGTTTGGGAAAGTTGGGATATCAGAAGGGATGGATTTGGGTGTAGGGATGGAAGAGTGTTACTTGAGTAATGGGATTCCTAATGCTGAACAAATGAGTGGTGTTTATGGACAGAGTAATGGCTTCAATTCAGAATACTTGAATTCTGCTTCTAAGTTTTGGGCTGAAAAAGCTAGTCCTTGGCAGCAGGTATGATTCATTCATTTGAGGATTTTTTTTTGTTATTATTGTGCTTTCATAATGTGGTTAAAACCCACAAAGTCCTTGCTAGAACGATCTTCATGTATAAAAAGAATAGGACTAAGTTTGTCTCCTTTGTGTTTGTCTTATATTTTGGTTTTCCATGGTGCTTCTTTTATTTGACTAGGGTAGTACTTAGATTAGATTACCATCTTGTATGCTTTCTTCAACTCTTTTTTGTTCATCATTCCTTTTTTTTTTGTTTTTGTATATGATATCTGATGAACCAAAGTAGCCAGAGGCATGTAGGATGAAGAAAATTAAGTTAAAGAAATTAAATAAGAATGTGGCTGAAGTATTGACCAATGTTGCAGTAGTAAGTAAAGAGTTCTTGGTGTAGTTCTATACCCTTTTTCAAATATCTGAAAATTTCAGAGGAACATTCAGTTGTTCATAGTTTAATCTTTATGATAAAAGCTGAAATGAAAGTTGATGCAGGAGAGTAGTTCAGCGGCAAATTCAAATTGAATTATATGATGATTACATTCTGAGATGCTTATTAATGAAATCTGTAGTTTAGTGTACTCAGCTCCCTCTCCTACTTGTCTTGTGCTGTCTTTTTTGTTGAGACTCCTGTCATTGTTATCCATAATTTTGAATGGCTTTATCTTCTTGGTGTCTACTGAACTTCAAACTTCCCAGGATATGGTTCTGTTTTACAAAAGATGAAACTCATCTTAACTGTTGTTCATTTTTTTCACCCTATACTGGTGTTTTGGACCACTGCTTGAAAACCAGGTCATTGTTTCGTACTTTTCTTCTTTCACCTTTTTTTGTCCTATTGGAGTTTTGCAATTATGGCTCCAAGAATGGTCCCCTTTTGTTAAATATTTCGATGACGGCTGGTTATGCAGGAAGCTCAAAATAATGTATACAGATTAGCTCCAGAAACTTTCTTGTTGGCATAGAACACCGAACTCCCACCAAGTAATGACATCCAATTATATATCCCCTTTGGTTGGAAGTTCAACAGTAATCTGGTTAAAATGGCTCCTTATATCAGCAAAGGATGGGCTGTTATCAGTCAACATCTAGTTGATCTGTTATATATCTGTTTAAGATTCATCAACCTCAATGGAAAGATGTCCTTTCCTTTTCTTGTTGCTAGCTGTATCTTGTCCGCCTCTCTCTCTGGACTTTATCTCTCTAACAGTCTAACTTCAACGTCATCTTTTGTAATGTACTAGTATATGTTATCGATTTGAACTAGTTCCTCAAATGAAACTTTAACTCCGCAGGGCTGCCATTCATAACTAATTACTGAAACATTTTTACCTATACTAGGTGAATGCGCCAAGTCTGGACTAGGTAGAGATCACAGTCTATTTGTGCCTGCCATTTCTTCCTTTCCTGAGAATGAAACCCTTTGATAGATCTAGATTTTCTTAACCCTGGTACTGGCGAGCTTTTCATTTATTTGGTTCCTGAGGAAAATTGAAGCATTTCACTATCTTAGTAGATAACCAGCTTGGTGGGAATTATCATTGGGTCTAAATAAAATGTGTTTTCTTAATGCAGGATCTGCAGTATGATTCTGCCGATTCACTTCACCATTTAAAGCATTTTGTAGCAAGGTAAACATTCTGTGTTTAGAGACATGGTTAGACGTTTGCATTTTGAGGTTGTAGGAACTAACAAGGGTGATCACTTTTTGCTTTCTTAGAAGGGAGGCCCCTTGGAAGATAGATGGTGAATCAACAGGAGTCTCCTCCAAATTAAAGTTACTTGAGCAGGAGCTACTGAATTTGGAAAGGATTGGGAAGACGGATCTATCTAAGGTACCATCATCAACGCGAAAACAGGTCAAGAGATACCAAGCTCTTGCTGGCAAGATCGATGATCTATGCAGAAGAATGGTAATTTTTTTTTTTGGATAAGGCAGAAGAATGGTAATTATTGCAAGCTTATTGCTGAAAATTTTAGTACATCGATTTGAAAGCTTATTGCATGCATGCTTAGGTTTCTCTGAGATTGGACAATATGGTGTTTCTTTCTTGCAAAGAAATCGAGATCAAGAAATACGTATAACACTTATTTTTTTTGGTGAAATGGATTACCTCATGCATCTATAAGATTTTTCTATTGGACTTGTTGAAAGAAGGGAATAAACTAGTCTTGATTACATGTGCATATATAGATGTCAGTTTATACTCTTAGCTCACACAACACTAGGCTTTGCATAAGCATACTGCTGATAATGATAATCCTCATTACAGCAGGCCAGCGATCCTAGTGAACCGAACCTGAGTCCTGAGTTTCGGACCCAAAGACAGACAGAATTTTTGCTTGAAGCATTTCGACTTCAGCAGCGTGCATCTGAAACTGGTCAGAAGCTAATGGTGCTACAAACTGACAGCGGAAAGAGTTATTATGGGGATGAATTTGAAGGTCAAGCCCAACTAGCTACTAAGCGATCCTTTGACTCCATCCGTAACAACTTAAAAGAAATCCAACGGAATTTAGAGATATGGCTGGCAAGAATTATTGGTGATCTTGAGGGAATCCTTTCCCGTGATGGTGCTGCTCGTGTAAGGGATTATTATATATCTAGATATCCTTTTGTTCAATAGTTGTTCATGTGTTAACAATTTAAGTGAAATCATGATTCAAAAATATTGCGATGAATTTATCATCCATCCTATTGAAATGGTGTATAGCTCCTTTCTGTTAACAAGAAATATCAAGAATGTTCAGACTTCTTTCCAACTGAATGTGCATAATGGGGGTTATGAGCCCAAACTATTGATGCTAACTAGTATAGAGTGGCATGAAGATTTTTGACAGAATTATTGATGGAAGTCACTGTTCTTGATCTGGATGCTCTTATCATTTACTACTACTAGTTTTCTTGGTCCTGGTCTTTCTATTGAGGCTTTAAATACTTGTTCTAGCTTGAAAGGGATGGTATGGTCCTAAGCAGCTGAATAAATGTCTTCTGAAATCTGACAAACATTAAATGGTTGTGGACTAGGGGAAAGAGAAATAAATACAGTAGCTCAATTCTCTCTGAACTACCAACAACTAGTGGACTGATAAGTGAGTTCAGTTCTTACACTGTTTTCCTTTTCTGATCTCCCAATGTAATAGTCCTAATAGACTACGAAGCAACAAGCTTTTAATAAAATCTTCAATTGGAAGATGTTTGCATTTTGGCAAGGCTAATTCTGTGGTACGTGGCTTTATGTTCCAATAGGTCTTCAAAGTTCTCTTGACATCATATGAATTCCTTGCAATTATACAACCAATAACAGATGAATTGTAAACATTGACCGAAAATATACAACTATCCGTAGTCTGAGATTTAAAGAGTTAACTTGGGAGCTGGTAGAAATGAGTTCAATGAATAAACAAGTTGAACTAGTGGATCAACCGCAACCATCAAACAAGGGGTAATAGCTACTCTGAAAATTTTGGGAGCAGTTCAATCAGGTTTCAACAAGTTATCAATCCCTCAATATAAAGAAACCAAGTTCAAACTTCTTTTTTGGTTTATTGATAAAAGGTTCAAACATAAATAATAGTAGCATTCTTTTGCAGCACGGAAAAGCATAACATTAGGCAAGCCATTGGTAAATAAGATTACATAGTCCAACAGTTTTAGCAGCAAAAGATGATAGAGCTTATGCTGAAGCAGCCTCTTCCTTCAACTGTTTCACCTTCGTGATGTAGTCGTTCATAGCTTCGTCCTTGGATTTTCCTGCCATAGATACATAAGTGTGTTCAGTTGAGTGAAGTGAAAACAAGTTTCAGCCAAGAAAATTGAAATCAACCTGAACAACACCACAGATCACACACCTTCAACAGCCTTCCATGCATCCCACTTTGCTCTGTCCCTCATGTTGAAAATACCAGGACGGCCTGCCCATCAATATACAATGGATGTAAGAACATTACATAGCTAGCTCGAGACATGAAGAGCAGTAAGTGCATATGCTCAAGACATAATACTCACTTGTGTCGACATTGCCAACAGTGGCTTGCTTGTAAAGCCCGTAAAGAATAAGCTTGTTCTCATTGGAAGTACTCTCTGGCAATGTCTTAGCCAACTCAGCGTGCTCTTCAAAATCCTCCTGAAACCCAAATGTTTCAGCAAAAGGTATGGCTAGCAGTAGATGCAAAGTTTTATCTTCCAGGTATAATTTCCTAATGATAAAATCAGGACGTGACTCCACCATAGTAGTGGAGACGAACATAGTTGGTGGTTCAATAAAACGGGAGCGCAACTAACAAAAAATCTATATCAACACAACAGCTCTAACGCCGAAACCAAATTTATGGAAATGTACGATACAAATTGAGTGCTTTAACAGCATCTATGAAGAGTTTGCTATTCAAATACATATGTTTAAATTCATATGGTGCGTTAGTTCATAGTTAGTCCAAAGAGTATCTGCAAAATGTTAGTCAAGAGGCACAAATAATGCATCCATTCCCCAACATTGTAAAGACCCCCTTAGCCAACCTTTTGCTTCCAACATGTTACAATTAGAGGAAATTTGACTGTGATCTATGTTTTATCGGTCAGTTCTTCAAATGCTACTATTTATAAACCACAGTGAAGAACCAGAAATAACCTTTAGATAACATGAGTAATTCTTATGACACTCATATTTTTGTTTACTGCTCTGTTCCGTCTGTTACCCTATCATTCGGCCACAATCCAATTCTAAAATTTCAATCTTTCACTACTGAAGTTTTGGCTAGTGTACATCTCAAACAGTGGCGGAGCCAGAATTTTTACTAGGAGGTCAAAATATAAAGAAGTCAATGTATAGTATATACAAAAAAAAAAATCTTTTACCTAGCTCCCAATGTAATTTTCCAGGAAAGGGGTGTGACTTGACACCCTTTGAATAGATGTGGCTCCGCCAATGCTCTTAGTAGCCTATATACTTTGTGGCAATAGGAATCCTTTTAGTGCTAAGCAATTGGCCAACCAACAATTCTTCTAGCCACTTATAAATAGGACGGCCAAAATTACAGACACTAGGCCATGAACAGCAGAAAGAATTCAAAGCCAGGCTGAACATAAGTTGGGCCTTTCTTCCATTTTCTTTACCCGATTTAATGAAGCACGGAGGGGAAATGATAGGTTTTAGACAACTGAATGTAAACTAGTATCCAGACTAGGCAATCTGATGAAACAGGATGGTAAAGAGGAAGCCTTCAACTTCTGTTAAATTGTTTACACAGAAGTTGGTCCATGTAGGATCATATAAATTCAAGAAACAATAATTTGTTCATTACAAACAATTAATAGTTCCTTATGATCCATATTTAGCTAAATGGTGCTCCCTGGCTTTACTCATCAACTTAAGCTTCAAAAGATACACCATATAAAGCCAATAATATCAACTATCTCAAAAACCAAAAAGAAAAAACACTCTCATCAGATGAAATCTTCAAAAGATCATTGAAATTGTGGACTACTTGTGTGCCGGAGACAATACATCAATATATGGAAGGCCAAACATGTAGTGGACAAATTCCTATGACAAGTCAGGGCTCATCTGCCATTGCATCCAACTATTTTTTTTATCTAATTAGGTGCTTAAATCTTGATCATTAGCATGAATGATAGTATAGTATAGCATAAACACAGCACCCTAGATTAGTGTTTAATCTGAATCAGTGTACGAACTGCTAAACGAGAAGTCTTGAACCTCAATTAACAGATCAACCCAACCACTGAAATTTCAACTATGTAATAACCGTCCAATCATTATGTCAGGGGCTTTTTAATTGACAAGACGTACTCACAAGAATAGCATAACTGACCAACAAAACTACAGATCTATCAAACCACGAAAATAGCAAACCAATTAAAATAAAAGTGGAAAATGGAATATAAAGCATTTAAAGACATTTTACCTTCAAACCCATGTCTGATCTAATTTGCTTGATAACTACGCAAGAGAATTGGAGAAGAAGAGTTTGTGTGATTGTGATTGTGAGGGTTGATATATATATATATATATATATATATATATATATATATATATATATATATATATATATAGTGAAGTATGAGCATAGGAAATAACGTAATATTCGATTGTGATAATCTATACAAAGTGGCGTGTAGGTTGGACCGTTGAAGTTGGGTCACTTACTAGCAAGATTAGTGGGGGCAAAAATTTGGTTTGGACCTAATGCTATTATGTGAGGTCCATAGCAGATTCTTGGTTCAGTCGTATGCCTAATCTTTATAATAACAATAACCTTCTGTACAGCGAAATATAGTTCGCCTAGTGTAATTTAGGTTAGTTTCCTAATATATTGGACTTTGAAATCAATTAAAATTTTGCAATTAAATCTTTTCTTATTAAAATAAGTAAGAAATCCTAATACTTAGGAATTTTAAATAAATAAATATTTTATCTCATATAAATCATACCAACTGAAAATTTGAAAATACATCCTTTGTATGGGCGACATAATACCATTGATTTGTAATTAACAAATTAAAATATTGGGACATAACATATTAAATTAAAATTGATTAATATAACAACGTCTAAATTAAAATTATTTCAAAGTGGAACACTTAAATATGAATTTTAAAAATTCTTATTTCAATCATACAAAAAATAATTAATCCACATTCAATTAAGCACCCAAAATAATTATTTGACATCATATTTAATCATACTAAACCGTACAGCCTAAATTTATATTATACAAGCACGAAGCCTCTACGCGAAATGTTGATTGATTTTTTATCTTTTAAAAATATTTTCTTTAGTGAATATAGGCCGGGTTAATGCGAGGTTGGAGGTTTGGAGATAGACCTTGGAGTGTAAAGGTTTCAAATTGAGCAGGACCAAAATAAAGTGCTGGATTGCAAATTCAGTGGGGGGACCCTTGAAGCTGACATGGATATGAAGCTCGATAGTCAAGTCATCCCCAAGAGAAGTAGTTTTAAGTATCTTGGATCTATTATACACGGTAACCGGGAGATCGATGAGGATATCACACGTCGTATTGGAGCGGGATGAATGAAGTGGATGTTTGCATCCGGTGTTCTTTGCGAAAAGAATGTGCCGCCAAAACTTAAGAGTAAACTTTATAAAGTGGTGGTTCGACCTACCCTGCTATATGGGTCGGAGTGTTGGCCAGTGAAGAGCTCCATGTGTAGAAGATAAAAGTATCAGAAATGAGGATGTTGAGATGGATGTGGGTGTAACAGGAGGGATAAGATTAGGAATGAAGTTATTCGGGACAAAGTGGGAGTGGCCTCCATGGAGGACAAGATGCGGGAGTCGAGGCTGAGATGGTTCGGGCATGTTAAGAGGAGAAGCGTTGGCGCTCATGTTAGGAGGTGTGAGAGGTTGACCATGGTGAGTTTGAGAAAAGGTCGAGGCAAACCTAAGAAATACTGGGGAGAGGTGATTCTGCAGGACATGGTGCGGCTTCAGATCACTGAGTACATGACTCTGGATAAGGAGGTGTGGAGGTCGAGGATTATGGTAGAAGGTTAGCAGGTAGTTGAGAGTTTTCCCCTTTCTTACCAGTAGTACTAGTAGCACACATTTTCTTCCCTTCCCCCATTTTCTCCCCTCTATCTTTCTTTTTCTTCTTTGTTCTCTCTCTCTCTCTCTCTCTCTCTCTCTCTCTCTCTCTCTCTCTCTCTCTCTCTCTCTCTCTCTCGTTGCTTCTTCTTCTTCTTCTTCTTCTTCTTCTTCTTCTTCTTCTTCTTCTTCTTCTTCTTCCTACTTTTCTGAGCCGAGGGTCTATTGGAAACACTCTCTTTACCTTCACTAGGTAGGGGTAAGGTCTATGTAAACTACCCTCCCTAGACCCCAAGTATGGGAATATACTGCGCATGTTGCTGTTGTTAGTGAATGTAAATGTAGTGTAAATATTTTACAATTATTTAAGTTCTAAAAATTATTAAAAATTCTACTTACTAAGTGTGACCATAAAAAAATATACATGCACAATGAGTGCAGAAGTATAGTGTGAGTATGTAAATCAACGCGTACCCAGTAAGTATCTAGCCTAATGCCAGAGAAGTAGTGACGAGGGGTCGACCTTAATACTTACTAGTGGTGCAATTGATCATACACAATAAAAGAAAACGGATATGAGGCATAACATATAAAATAGTGAAAATAGATATAAGTACATAATGAAATCCTCAATTGAGCAGTAACATAAGGTCCTCAAATATTGACAACTTCTTCAAATAGAATATGTATTGGTCAATACCAAATCAACGGTCACATTTCAAGTCAGGAAACTCATAAGTACGCTAACTCCTTATCCATTATTTCGCACGATTCTGCCGAGGCGAGCGGCCGATCCCATTAGAGTAAAGGCACGAATTTCTGTCGTGGCGTACGACCCAATCCCATAATAGTCGTTTACATACACTGCCGAGATCATACCAATTGATCCATGGATGCATCCGACAATACTGTCGAGGCGAACGACCCGATCTATGGATGCATCCCATAATACTGCCGAGGGGAATGACCCGATCCCATAATGATGTTGCTGAGCCGATCAGCCTGATCCCTAGGAAATAGTGAAGACTTGACGGGTCACTGGCCCCACTCACGAATATACGTGTGAGTTGTGAAATTCAAAAAAGTTTCGGACAAATATGTAAAACACAGGAGGAACCCGTAAAAGGAAGTGTACTCAAGTAGCTTACCCTATATCACAAATCGTACATTAGATACTTTAAGCAAGTCTAGTCTTAGACAAGAACATAAATTAAAGCAATTAAACAGGACATAATACCTCAAATACTACATTTAAGACATGGCGTGAGTCTAAGTATACCCGGACCTAATCATGAATTCTAGCAAACGCACGGATACTCGTCACCTCATACATGCGTAGACCCAACAACACGTAGCACATAGCAATTAGAACACCTGCGGGGTAGATTCCTTTTCACAAGGTTAGACAGAAACATTACCTCGCTCCGAAGTTTCATAACTGGCTCTAACGCCTCTCTAACACCTCAAACCGATGCACATCAATCCGAAACTAGTCAAACAACGTACAAACCAATAAAAATATTCTCCAATACTCATAATTAATCAATTTATAACAATTTCCAGCTTCGCTCGAACAGTCAACAAAGCCAACCTTCGGGCCCACGTGCCCGGACTTTGCAAATTTTTGAAGATAAACTTTACCCATAACACTATGAACTCAACTATATAATTTATTCCTAATTCCATGTCCAATGTCGTGTTCAAAATCCAAAAATTCAATTTCAAGGTTTTCTTCATAAAATCCACAAACTCTACAATTTCATGTTAAAATTCATATGTAATCCATGTATTTAACTTATAATAGGTAGAAATCACTTACCACATGATAGATGATGAAAATCTAGCCTTCAAGAGCTCCAAAAATCGCCCAACCAAGTAAAAATATGAGAGAAATGGGCTAAGTCCCGAAATAAAAAGCTCCCTGCCCAGTCGAACCTTCTTCGCATCGTGAAGACCAAACTCCCCAGCTGCCAATTCGCTCTTCGCGAATGCGAGACGTGGATCGGGAATGCAGAACTCTACCAGGCGCCTCTCCGCGAATGCGACACCTCCTTCACGATTGCGAAGGCCAGAAACTCCCAAGCCCAACTTCCCCCTTCGTGAATGTGACGCCATGTCGCGAACTCGATGCATTGCCTTTGAACCCTTCGCGAAAGCGAGGGCCCAAGCGCGAACGCGATGAGAAGAATAACCCCCAGCTCAACTCCTTCTTCACGAACATGATCTTAAAGAACAAAACCAGAACTAGCAAACCAGTAATAATAATTCATCCAAACTTGGTCCGAACGTGTCCCGAAACACACCTGAGGCTCCAGGTACCCTGTCCAATCAGGCCAACTAGTCCCAATACCTTAACTAAACTTATCCAAAGGCTCGAAATTCCACGAATAACATCAAAATCACGAATAATCGATCAAAATCCTTCTTTTTAACTTTCAAACATTCAAACTTCGCCGAACGCGTCTGAATCATACCTAAACATTCTGGAATGACGCCAAATTTTACGCACAAGTCACAAATCAAAATACGAGCCTATTCCAAGGCTCGAAATCCCAAACAGACATCATTAAAACCAAAGTGCACCTCAAATCAAACTTAAGAAATTCTAAAATAAGCACCGAAATGCTTCCGGTCCACCCGAAACTCGATACAAACATACGCCCAAGTCCAAAATCATGATACGAACCTGTAGAACCTTCAAATCCCGATTCCAAGGACGTTTACTCAAATGTCAAAACTTGATCAACTCAAAACTTAAGACTTCCGAATTGAGAATTGTCCTTCCAAATCAACTCTGAACTTCCCGAAAACCTAAACCAACCACACGTGCACGTCACTATACATGAAATGAAGCTACTCAAGGTCTTAAACCGCTGAACATCAGGCTAAAACTCAAAATGACAGGTCGGGTCGTTATTTTCTCCCCCACTTAAACACACGTTCGTTCTCGAATGTGCCAAAAACCATTCCAGAGTTGCCCAAAATAACCGTTTAACACCTCATGCACCTACCCGTGCCACCACAACCCACATGAGCATATTAACTCAAGCCAGACTGAAGATCCTTCCTGCTACTTTAATCCACAAGCCTTAGAACCAAATTCCAACATCCAAAATTCTCTACCAGGTCTGTTTCTAACATACGAACGCCGTATCAACCTCAACACGCTGAACCAAACCATGATCATGCACCCATGCTGAAATCACACCATGCACCACATAATTCGTATGCCTATAATAAAATCCTCCAACAACCGCAGCTGCAAATTCACTAACCCGATGCCCGTAGTATACCTCATAACATATATAAACGTTGCTCCAACCCTCACAATACTGCTATAATGAACGAGACGTGTAGAATCTCATAACCACCCGCCAAACCAATAATTCATGGAATTCCTCCGCTCAACAAGAACCACTGCCTCATTATGAACTGAATAGCGACATTTTTCGGTCTCTTATACCTTA